AGCCTCATTGCATTTCTTAATGTCCCTTTAGATCTATCATAAATCGCAATCATGACATTATGAGAGTATTTATGGAGTTAATACAATTCAGCTCTCATCTGTGCCTGCCTTTTTCTTTTTTCTTTCTTTTTTCTTTTTTTTTTTTTTTTTTTAAATTTCCTGCCAGTAAGTAGAAAAGACCCATTTGGAATTTGAGAAAACATCCAGAGATGTCTTTGAAAATCTGTACTTCTAAATTCATACTTTGTTTTATTAACAGATGTACATTTGAAGGAGAAATACCATATACTGTAAGCCATTTGGGAATATTCTGCCTGTCAAGGATGACTCACGCTTTTCATTTCAATGGCATGGATGCTGAGAGCTTAAACTCCAGACTCATCTGTACTCTAATTCTAAATCATTTTTTCCATGAACTCTGCAAGCATTTTATGATAAACACACACATGTGTATGACGTATGTGACCTCACCGGGAGTTTTCTGCAGTGTCAAGTGTTATTGGAAGATACCCAAGAATTGATTGACACATATCTTACAGAACTGGAGTTAATTAATAGGTCTACCAATTCCCAAATGTACCACAGGAAAGAGAAAATCTGTTTAAGACAGCAATCAATGACATACTGTGTGTGGTCAGGAGGTATTCATGATACAGCAAAAGTAGATTTTGCAATACGCTATTCAGGAGTGTAAATATAGTCAGGTGGCACATAACATTTTGGTTAATGATGAACGGCATATAGGATGATAGGCCCCTAGGATTATAGTGGATCTAAAAAATTCTTATTGCATAGTGACCTCATAGCCATTGGAAAGCCTTGTCTCTGTTTACATATGTTTAGATGCACAAATACTTATTATTATGCTACACATTGCCTACAATATTCAGTACAGTAACGTACTGTACAGATTTACAGCTTTAGGAGCAATAGGCTCCACCAGATAGCCTAGGTATATAGTAGGCTATCCCATCTAGGTTTGTGTAAGTACACTCTATGATTTTTGCACAACAGTAAAATAGCCTAAGGACATATTTCTCAGATTCTATCTCTGTTGTTAAACAACTCATGATTTTATGCTATTAAAATGCTTGAAGGGTGAAAGAGGTCTATTTTCATAACTAGAGGACAAAACTGAAGGTTATTTTGCAAATGGTTGTATTATTACTTTAAAGGAGCTATTAATTTCCTCCTATAAGATCCAAAGCTATTAAATAATTAAGTAAGCCCTGATTTCCTTCAAAGTGATGTTTTTACTTCTGGGGCATTCAGCCATATAGGATGCTAAGTCTATAATGTCATTTTCTGACAATGGAGTTTCAACATTCTTGAAAACAGAATGTAAGAAGATAAGTTGTTTTAAAAGGAAGAACACTGCAAAGAAAAAACTGAATGTTTACATGTCCATAAAAGTCTTAATAAAAGCAACAAATGAAATGTCTTTTTTTTCTATGATAAAATTATTTGTAATATGTCTAGACAAAATTTTAAAAGGAGATTAGTCTTTCACCATTTTAAGTGGGGCAGGTAATAGCAAAGTACACACACAACTTCTAAACTAGAATTTAGGAGAAAAATGGGTTCTTTATCTGAAAAGTTGTCCTTGAGAAAAGAAGTCGATATATTCAAACTCTGTGAGAGTTTATGAACTCTAAGCCAATAATCCTGGCCTCTGTTTCGATTGCTATTTTGTTTCTCACTCTCTCAATCTTTCTATTACTGTCTTCTCCCAATAGTACGAAGTATACACTGTCTCTTTTTTTCAACTTCACAAACAGCATAACAATTTAAATCCAAAGGTAGTGTTTTAAGTATAATATAGATGAATTTAAAGCAGATTCTCTCTTAAGGCAGCTTAAGCATTGAAAATTAAATTTGATGTAGTCTAGACAAGCTATATTGATAATATCTTTTCCAGAATTTCATAGATTGACTGTCTAGACTGCTTCAAATTCCCCAGGTAATTGCATAATCATCTTACTTCTGACCCCCTAAACAGTCTGGAACAGCATTTCACAATCTATAGTTATCATGCAAATCAAAATCACTGAGCTTCTGAAGGAGGACCTCTCTCAAAGTCTGTGAGTTTCAGAGTCTCAGGAAAATACTCGCATTTCAATCTTCCACCTCAGAATGCTTGGACAGGAAGCTTTATATATTGGCTATTTGGGTAGAGGAAATCCTGGTAAATGGCCTGGCTCCAGAACCTGTACCTCTTCATTTCCCCAGCGGCCCACCCATAGGGCAGCAATGAGTAGTTGATGAGTGAAAGAGGAAATAGACTGTTAACTCTATTAAAATCTCAACTTCAAAAATCAACATTTCGGGAAAATGATAAAAATGCAAGAATAGCATATGGCGTTTTAATTTAAATGACCATCAACATCATGTAAGCCTCGCATTTAAAAAGGGGAAATTAAGAAAGGTGCAGAATCACCCGGCAGCCATGAGAATTCAGTGCCATAATTTACGATCTCTGATGAAGTGAGAAACATTTAGGAGGCAAAGTGACAACTGCTATTAAGCAAAACAGCAACACAGGTTTCAGGCTGTGATGCAGATTTATATTTTGTATTAAATGGGTATAGACTTGTATTTTAAAATAGTTACAGTTTCTAATATTAATTGACTTTTTTTTAGCTCTATTATCCATTAGACAATGTTTAACTTTCACAACTCTATGAGGTACAGACCATTTTCCTTAAAAATTTCTAGCTTAGAAACTTAGATACAGAGGAGGTAAATAATTTGCACCAGATTAAGCAGCTAGTACCAAGCTGAGGTTGAATGCAAGCTCTGCAGTCTGAGGCTAGCAGATATGCTTTTAACAATGGTGGGATTAAAACTCCTTGAGTTTCTACAGGGACAAAAAAAAAAAAAAAAAAAAAAAAAAAAAACTCAATGGGTCATACTGTGCTAAGAGCGGTAGAAGGCAGTTAGAGGTAATAAGTTAACCTTGCATTTAAAATATACAGACCCCGAGAATCAAAAGATTGTTTTTAGCTTGTGTTGCATGTGTGAGACAGAGTCTCAGAGAAGTTAAGTAATATTTCCAGTGCTCCACAGCTAGTAAGTTGTAGAGCAAGATCTGAAGACAGATGCGACACCAAAGTCCAGGTCCTTTCTGCTAATTTGTGCTAAAAGTTCGGCATTCCTGCTGGGCTCTGTCACTCACGCCTGCAATCCTAGCACTTGGGGAGGCCGAGGTCGGTGGATTGCCTGAGCTCAGAAATTCGAGACCAGCCTGGGCAACACGGTGAAACCCTGTCTCTAGTAAAATACAAAAAATTAGCCAGGCATGTCGGCGTGCACCTGTAATCCCAGCTACTTGGTACTTGGGAGGCTGAGACAGGAGAATTGCTCGAACCTGGGAGGCAGAAGTTGCAGTGAGCCAAGATCACGCCACTGCACTCCAGCCTGGGCAACAGAGCGAGACTCCATCTCACACACACACACACAATAAGTCAACGTTCCTGATTCCATTGCCAATCATGTAGACCATAATTCCTGACGCATGTAAAAAGTGCAATACCATGACTCATGTAAAAAGTGCAATATCACGTGGAGGGGGTTCACTAGAGCTACCTTCAGAATATAGAAAAGTGAGACAATCGCCTTGGGCCCAAGCTTTAGGACAACTGATGTATTACAATAAGAACTGGTTGAGAAGACAGCAAAGAGAGAGTGACTAAATCAAGTGCTAAAACAAATTACATGTACAAAGTCTCCAGTACCATGTGCATAAATTTATCCCTAATTTAATCAATGTAAAACAAGCAACATCAGTAGAATTGCCTGTCCTAAAGTTGCTTTTTACTTAGAACTCTTCAGTCTGTCAGCGTAAATACTATACATATGGGCTTATAAAAAAGAGAAGAAGGAAGGATATGGTTGGGGAAATAGGATGAAGAGAGACTGGCAACTAGTGAGATCTTGGGAATGTGTCTTCCCTGGTTCATCAAGAAGAAAAAATAATTGTGTTTAGTCTAGAAACTGCATAATATCTAAGGTGATTTCTTATACAAAGAAGATATAACAGAAACTATTTTGATTTCTAATTCATTTGGGTCAAAAGACATACTTATATCACTTTGGGACACTTTATGAAATTTAGGGAGAGAGTCTAAAGTTTAAGTTATAAAGAAGTGAATACCATGTCAATTTTATTTTATCTTTAGGATATCAGAAATATTTCAAGAATAAGTCCTTTATTTGTTGAGTATTTCTGAGTTCCAGTTTTGAAGAAAATTCTGTCACCAATGATTTTCTCATCACGTGAACACTTTTGTTCCTCTTAGGATTTCATGCCAAAAATTACAAGAGGGTTTATAATTGAAGGCTATTGATGAGCCAGATTCACCAAACTGCTTTCAACATTAGCAACTTTTTCTTTATCTTGATTTTTACTTAAATGTACATAATTTATTCACTAAAACATCTTTACAAGGAATAGAGAGATTTTAAAAAAACAACAAATTTTTTTCTTTCCCATACCTCCAAAATAATAATCAAAAATATACAATCAAAGCTTAGCCAAGCAAGAATACAAATGTGAATAATGTGAGTCAAACCTGAGACCAGATCATTGTGCAAATGTATGGCATCCTTTCTTAATCCCTAGGCAGAAGAAAACAACTGGGTGGCAGACACTTCTGGCTGAGGATGGAAATGGAGGAGAAGGCTGGCAATATACAAATGAAGGAGAAAACACCACACATTCAGCCTGCTGACATCTGCTGCACATGCAAAATGGATTGGACTCTAATCCAGGGTGAAAACAAATGCTTTCTTCCTTCCTTCCTCCTGCTCCCTAGTTTTTGTTGAGTGATGTTCTCATTCTTTTTGCATTCACAGATTAAAATTAATAACAGCATCTGAATTTGAAGTAGGTCCCACTGAATAGTGAACCAGAAGCAAAATGAACTGAAGAAATTAGTAATGAAGCATTTTGAATAGAAAGGGGTCATGGACAAACACAATTTTTTAAAAGCCAGCTTTACCTCAGGATGATGTCCAATTTCAATGTAGGTGCAAATTGGATGAAAAGCCCCCGTTCCACAGGCGTACAAGTGAGTCTGATTATACGCCTTAAGTACCTTGATGAAATTAGCACATTCTTTCTGTAAGACAAAAGGAAAACCAAAGATTTTCAGCAATCAGCATGACTGAGGTATCCTCTAGGGTGCTAGGCATGCTGGAACAGATTTGTCTTTTGTTTTCTTTTTTTAGCATCCCTTTCACAACATTGTAAGGACTTATTTATTTTTCTATTGTTTTGTTTATATTATAACATGCATTAAAATATAGAGTTTCTTACTCTGGTGAGAACAATTATTTTATGACCTTCCATCAGTCTTTCATTAAAACTATTTTTAATTTATTTATATAAAAGCAGAAAAAAAAATAGATTATCAATAATCACAGGTGATTTTTCCAGAAATGAGGAGAGCAGCAAATTACTTGATTAACTAATGAATTAACTAAACAAAATGATGGTGAAAATTTACTTGCAAAAATCAGTTTTCAGTTCCATTTTAGGAAAAGAAAACAAAAATATAATATAATATGACCCTCTAATAAACATAAAGTTTAAACATCATTAGTAACCCATTTTGGAAATATCCAAATGAGTATTCACATGGTAAATAATAAAAACTGCATTCAAAATGATTTTGTTAAAGGCTATAGACTTCCTTAACTACCTTTTTTTTTTTTTCTATAAACATTTGGAATTAAGAACCAAATATGTAACTATAAATGCAATTAAGGATCAAGTGTGGACAACAGTACAAGCAAGGCAGGCACACATGACAGGACTGGGTTGTTCCTGGGACTTCTAAGTGTGTCACACTCCCAAAGTCATTCTCTATGACTTGCCAGTTTTCAAGTGAAAGCTCAGAGTGCTTTATGTAGTCAGTTGGAGCTTACAACTGAGGCGGTAAAATTATTTGAGTACATTTCCACATGACATCTGTATTCTATATTTGAGGCTGATTATTTTTATCTTAATTCCATTGCCCCCGTAAAATAAGGATCAGGCAACCAAACTTAAGCAGATTAATTGATATTTAAATTCAAATAATTGCTGTCTATTATCACTTATTTTTCTAGGATGAAACCTGATGATGACCCTAAAATACATTGCCCTAAAAATGAATGTGGCCCATTTAAAGTAAAATGCGAAAGTTTCTAGTTATGACTCCTCCCTCATTCTTTCCTAACATATGCTGAGTACTTTGGGGGTAACTAAAATAAACATAATTTCTTCCACTGTTTTGCTACACAGATCCTGAGTCTTTCTTTTGTCTGGTAAGGCACTACAATGTATAACTCACTGAACTAAATTGATCTTGCAAGTTGTTACGAGGAAAAATTTCCTAGCTTAAAAGGTATGTGGATCTCATCCGTGTTTCACTTTAAATAGGGTACCTCTTAGGTAAAACTATGAAACAGATATAACTTAACTTCCACTACTCTTAGCAACAAGCTCTCCATTCTGTAAGAGTCTCTCCTCCTTCCCCAAGAGAATAGAGCATGAAGGCTTGGGCAGAGGAAAGAGGTTGTGGAAAGGGAAACATCTGATAAACTCATTTACAAACCAGGCATTCATGAGCCTTACCCAAAGGATTTATTTGTGTTCTTAAAAAAATTTCAGTCATTTGCAAAGAAGCCATTTTCAGGAAAATGTTTACTTTGAAACACGTAGGTGGCCACATACTCTGCTTTTATATAAAGATAATCATCTCTGATTGTGGGCTCAATATTATAGTATTCCAGATTAGAAATAACCAGTTCCAGCGCCATATGCTGAAACTAAGAAATTGGCTGTGTACATATTGGTAGGCAAACAGATATTCTAATAAATAATAGTGGCAGACCCAGATGGATGTCTTTTTCATTCTAGAAAAAAACAGGATTTCAGTTTGCATGCCATGCCTTTATAGATATCATGCAATTTTTTCCACAAACCCCAATTTTTTAGTCTTATCAGTATCTCCTAACTGCCTCCTTAGAAATACGACAGTGGAACTTACTTCTCCATAATAAATAAGGAAGAACATATTTTACCAGTAAGAATACTTGTGAACAAAACAAAGGCTCATGTCACCTCTGCAACTGTTATGAATCATAATATCACAGAATTTGTGGGCTCTTTATCTCTTATAGATTGAATAACTGATTAGCAATTTATAGTGACTACATCTGTCCTTCGGAGGAAACTAGCAGATTGTAATTAATGACTGAAAAACTCTCAGGGTTCTTGCTAACTATGAAATTGGGCTCCACTGAATATCATAATTTTAATTTGTTCTCTATTAACTACTAAAGAGGAACCACTATAACATGACAACAATTCCCCTACAGAGCTGTTGGAACAAAATCAATCACAGGACTATGGCTGTGAAAGCTGGCAAAGGGCTCTACCGAGAGTGCTGATAACGGGATTCTATCTTTTTACTAAGCAACTAGACCCACCCTATTGGCCTAAGGCCTGGAATGATCCCCTTCATTTCCCCACTGAGCTCTCCCAGTTGGCAGCAGGTTGTATTGTTACCATGCCCTGGGGGCAAGCTCAATATTATTTTGAAAGTGGAGGTTGATGCAAATATAATGGAGAGAAATTTCTTGGGCTTAGAGGATATAAAGATGCTTGAAATAAAACAAAGGAATGGAAGGAAATACTTTCAAATTCGGTTAAAAATAGCTGAGAGAAGACCCATCAAGAACAATGGAGGAGGAAAGTGTATTAAAAGAACTGGACAGAGAAGAAGCAAAAACTTGACAGAGACATTGTTAGCAAGGATTTGTTCTTAACAGAAAACCTACATAAAAGAGTATCAATCCTGTCATTCATTTGCCTTCATTCTCTAGCTTGTTGCTGCCAAGGTTTTCGAGTGTTCCAAAACAGGATATTCATTTTATTTGGAAGCAGCTTGGACATTCCTCTAAAAAAGAAGGAAGCGTGGCAGAAAAAGGAAACACACTTCACACATTTCTGCTCTAGGGAGACAGAAGAAGAGTGTTTCTGACCTTTTCTTGAACCATGACGATTCTTAAAACTCAGAATGTAATGTACTTTTTGGCCTTAAACTACTGCACTGCTTTGCTCAGCACTGGAGGATTTACAATGTAATAAAGAGAGTGGAATCAGTTCAAAATGAATTCATTTTTCAAACCTTGATCCTTTTTGGAATATAAGTTGATGAACACAGACAAGTTTAGCAACAAGTTGACTTCCCCACAGTCAGGCAACCATACTGACCTCTTATTTTACTGAAATGTTCTCCAGAGCAACAGTGTTATAGATTGTTAGCTAGAAATAAAAGTAAGGGCAGTTATAAACCAGTAAAATCCAAGGCCACACCTGAGGAGTAATGATTCATCACCCTTAGTGACAAACCGCTTACACTTATGTTTTTAAGGGTCTCTGGTCTTTCCACATCAAAGGAATGAGGAATTATGTATAAAGATATTACCTGGAGTAATAAATTTAGAAGAAAATGTCTACCCCTAGAAAAAGATACAGGAGCCAAAAGCACAGTGATTCAAAAACAAACATTGCAGATATGAAGCACTGATTAGACTGTGTTACACAGACTTTTCCTGGACGGTTACAAAAATAAAGTCCATCCATCTGTCAAAACAACTGCTCCATGCATGAAAATTAAAACAGAACTGAGGTGTTTTTAACTAACTTCTGATAATTATACTTTCTACAAAAGAATATGATTTACCTCCAATTCCAATTACCTTCTTGTATGTTCTTAAATTCTGGATGGAGCAGTTAAATTTTACTCTAAGTAAGCGAAGAGAAAAGGAGAGAAGACTTGTGAACGTGAACAATCTCTATTCAAATATATTCAGTTCATGATTAAATCAAACAACTTGTTCTGGCTCAACTACAAATCAGTCCAAAATGAATGGGTAGCATATAACATTGACTCAGGTCAATGAGAATTCATGTAAAAAGAAAAAAAAATGCTTCTATCCCATCGATAGTTTATGCAGAAATATTTTGGTGCATAATCTAGCAGTTGGGAAAGCAAAGGAAATCTTTTCCTATCATGATAGGTGGATACATTTATGCCTGAAAACCCATTAATAAGCTTAATTCCTGAAGTTAATCTGTTGACTTTCTTTTTCTCTGGTCAATTTATTTGGCAAGCTAGCTGAATACTGGAATCTTCGTGCCAAAGCAGTAATCCGTGAGATTGTTCCTGTCACTCACTTTATCCCTTCCTCTATTTAAGCTTTTCCGCACTTATCTGGCAATAATGTTTAGTCTTTTTTTTTTTCTTTTAACCTTGTGCTATTACAGCTGTAATCCGATCATCCATAATTGTGTCTTTCTAATACTTTACTATTCACTAAAGGATGTTAGAAATCTCTTCTCCAAAGAGGCTTATCTAATAAAACTAAAATATAAACCATGTTATAATTATGATATTAGCCTTCTAATGTTGAATTTGTGACTTGGAATTTTTTAACATTCACCTTTTAAAGTGATGAATAGGCAGTTCTGTCCATTTTGGGAAGCATTTTTACCATCAGTATTTAGAATATGCCATAATAAAATGAATTGAACTTTCCATATCAATGCTTTTATATTTTTTAGAGATTTAAAATAATACTGATTCAACTAACACAACAAAGTTAGCAACGTTACATAGCCAGTAATTTTGGTATGTAAGCATATTCATATTAATTGAACTATATCACCATTAAACCTATAATAACTGAAAAACAACTTTTAAAGTGGCTTGAATTATATGATTAAACTAAATGAAGACTCTCTGTATAAGGTTCCCAAATTATTTTACTTAAATGTTCATTGCAGTTAAGTGCCCAATTTGACTGCTCTTTTCCCTCTAGATTGACTATTTGTTTTGAAGTTCTGGAAATATTGTTCAAGATTCTATAAACATTTTTCTTTCAAATTACTTGAAACCTTCAAACATGTTCAAAATGATTATCCACATAGGCACTATAGACCATGCTATTAGCAAAAGCTGACCGCTGTGATTTTCTTTTATTTAAAGGAGTTCAAAAAATTCACTTTGAAATTCTGTGTGGACCATAGAAGCTTATGATATCAATTTTTAGGCTTATGTTTTCTTTT